GGGGGAGTTGCGAGGAAGGAAAGAAGGAGGAGAGAGAGAGAGGCTAAGTCCCAGTCAAATAGTAACATAATCATACAACTTGTGTCTGCAATTGCTTGTCTAAATATACCAGTTGAACTTTTCTTTCATCACCAGCATTAATTTCAGCATTGATTTAAGTTTCCCTGATGTAAAATAAATTCCTAAAACACAAATAAATCTCAAATGTTATAATTATCACTATCTAAACTGACCTACAACACACAAGAATGATAAATAATCTCCCTCAATAATCTCTAAAGTAATCTATACACAGAAGAAGGAACAATAATTAATCATTAATAATCTGTGGTATGTGGGTAAGAATAATCCACTTGGGTAACTCACGTAGAACAGAGAGGGTGACGGAGGCGGTGAGAGGGTTAGCGGTGTTCCTCAAGGCTGGGTGTTTGGCCCTGCACGAGTACTCTACGCCATCATCTTCCTGTTGCGCCGTTAACTCCAGCCGACTGACTACGGTCATCAGGCGACGTTTCTTGGAGGGTTTAATCGCGTCCGTCTGATGTTCTGGTGAGGGAAGTGGAGAGAGGACTCAGAAGAATGTAGAGGAAAAGATTTGAGAAATATCCAAGTGTTAAATTCAAGTTTATGGGAAATAAGTATGAGGAAGGAAGATTACTTAGCGAATGAAGAGAAAGAACACTCACACACGTTAACATATGGAATACTAATTTTGTCATTCATTTACATAATTAGTTTTAGCCAGGTAAAGAGATTTATGGTAATGGGGAAGTTTTTCTTGTGATGACTGGATGTAGACTAAACCAACAGGTGGACACGGAGATGAATCTATTGCCTTCACGACAGTTTGGTTCCAGTGTGGGTATTCCTGGTGTCTCCCCCTCCTCACCTATGTCCTCAACCCCATCCCTACCCACCTTCCACCCCTCCCTCTCCACCTCCCTCCCACCCCTCCCTCACCTCCCTTCCACCCCCTCCCTCCTTCCACCCCCTCCCCCCTCTCATCTCCCTTCCACCCCCTCCCTCCCCCACCTCCCTTCCACCCTCCCCCCACCTCCCTTCCACCCCTCCCTCTCTACCTCCCTTCCACCCCTCCCTCCCCACCCTCCCTTCCACCCCTCCCTCCCCACCTTCCACCCCTTCCTCTCACCTCCCTTCCACCTCCCCCCACCTCCCTTCCACCCTCCTCTCACCTCCCTTCCACTCCTCTCTACCTCCCTCCACCTCCTCTACCTCCCCCTTCCACCCCTCCCTTTCTACCTCCCTTCCACCCCCTCCTCCCTTCCACCCTCCCTCTCACCTCCCTTCCACCCCTCCCTCTCACCTCCCTTCCACCCCTCCCTCCCCCCCCCTCCTTTCACCTCCTTCCACCCTCCCTACCTCCCTTCCACCCCCCTCCTCCCTTCCATCTCTCCCTCCCTTCCACCCCTCCTCCCTTCCACCCCTCCCCTACCTCCCTTCCACCCTCCCCCACCTCCCTTCCACCCCTCTACCTCCTCCACCCCTCCTCTCTACCCACCTTCCACCCTCCCCACCTCCTTCCACCCCCTCCTCTCTACCTCCCTTCCACCCTCCTCTACCTCCCTTCCACCCCTCCCTCTCTCCCTCCCTTCCACCCCTCCTTCTCTACCTCCACCCCTCCTTTCACCTCCCTTCCACCCCTCCCTTCCATTCCTCCTTCCCACCTCCCTCCCTCTCTACCTCCCTTCCACCCTCCCTACCTTGTTTTCTTGGCAGGAATTAATACACCTGGTCAGCTTTAACAAACGGGGTTGTATTTCTTTCATACTATTTTTACTGAAGAGAATGATCATTAATTCGTCATTTTTTTCCAATGGTTTGACTGTAGCTGATTAATTCCCCTTTAATAGATTAGTTTTGTTTCTAATGGGACGATTTGTGGTGTATTAGCGTTGTGCATTAAATTGTAACACACACACTTGCCTGACTCACTTATCTTAAAACACCTGTTGGCTGGGTTCTGAAACACCTGTGGACTGGGTTATATAACAAAGACAGGTGTTATAAGGTCACTCACTGGGTTCTATCCGTTTCTTGTTATTATACCAGGTGATGGTGGGTGGCGGGCGAGAGTCAGACACAATACATTCCAATACGAGGCTGGAGGCCGCTTTTACCTCTACCATCTCTCCCTCACTCCGTCCTATCATGGCGATGCTGCTAGGTGACACTGCCGGAGGGAAGTAGGTCATAATGCTGAGGATCCAGGAAGTTAATGTTATTATTTGAGGGAAGTAGGGAAGTAGATGGTCACTGACAGGAAGAGGAGGTTTTGGGTAAGTATTAAGTTAGGTATAACATTAAAGAAATTATATGGTAAAAATGTTTATATTTTGAGAGAGAGAGAGAGAGAGAGAGAGAGAGAGCTGAGGGAAACTTAGCTGAGAATGAGGTGTAATTTTTGACGTTAAACAACTATTGTCCCGGACACAGTTGACACAAGGAGAGGAAACTTCTTTACTAAAAAAAATGAACAAAGTAAAAGTTAATATGACCAGAGACCACCTCCCTCCTCTCCCCCGACCCCTCCCTCCTCTCCCCCTACCCCTCCCTCCTCTCTCTCCTCCTTCCCCTTCCTTAGCTCTGCCCTCTCCACCTCCCCTCCTCTTTTTCGTTCCCCCTTCCCCTCCCTTTTTTCCTTCCCCCCTCCCCTCCTCTTTCTCATTCCTCCCTCCCCTCCTACCAAACTCTCCTTCCTCCACTAACCCCCCCTCCCTCACCCCCTCCTCTCCCGCCCTCTCACCTCCCCACCCCTCCTCCCCCCAACAGAAATTAAATCTGGCGTATTTTTTTTTAAGGCCTGAAATGTACAATACAATTACTTCCCCCCATAAAAAGGTATTTATCTTTGTCATCTTAACGTTGTCACCATGAATGTAAAATGAATAAGCGTTCACTAACTCTTCATCACCATCATAATAATAGTGACGAGTTATGAATTTCAAACTTTGGACAAAAAAAGTAAAAAAAAAAAATTCTTCACGTTTGATTTAAATGGAATTGGACTTCAAAAGATATTAAATTTTTTTTAATGTAAGAGAAATTTAATAAAAATATGCATTAAAAAAGGTATATAATTTTGCTCCTGGACAGTGTGTGTGTGTGTGTGTGTGTGTGTGTGTGTGTGTGTGTGTGTGTGTGTGTGTGTGTGTTATTAACCAAGTTATGTACATCATCAGGTATGGCATGTCACTATACAGTACATGTCAAGTCAATACAAACATTACTACACATATAAACATTACTACACCAATATAAACATTAACACACCAACATTACTACACCAATATAAAAATTACCACACCAACATTACTACACCAATATAAACATTACCACACCAACATTACTACGCCAATATAAACATTACCACGCCAACATTACTACACCAATATAAACATTACCACGCCAACATTACTACACCAATATAAACATTACCACACCAACATTACTACACCAATATAAAAATTACCACACCAACATTACTACACCAATATAAACATTACCACACCAACATTACTACGCCAATATAAACATTACCACACCAACAATACTACACCAATATAAACATTACCACACCAACAATACTACACCAATATAAACATTACCACACCAACATTACTACACCAATATAAACATTACCACACCAACAATACTACACCAATATAAACATTACCACACCAACATTACTACACCAATATAAACATTACCACGCCAACATTACTACACCAATATAAACATTACCACACCAACATTACTACGCCAATATAAACATTACCACACCAACATTACTACGCCAATATAAACATTACCACGCCAATATAAACATTACCACGCCAATATAAACATTACCACGCCGATATAAACATTACCATTGAGTCTGCAGTTTCATTTTGTGTTCACGTTACAATTTCCATTATTCTGAATTCGAGTAAAATTAAGTTCTCTGTAATTTTTCACTCCAATGACATTCTTTGAAGTTTAGACAGCGTTCAGTCCCTTTGTGCAGCGTTCAGTGCTGTTGTAGGGTGTTCAGTATCATGGTAAGGCGTTCATTCCCTTTTTACACTTCCCAATCCTCCTTGTACACTTTCCAATCCCCTTTGCGCACTTTCCAATCCCCTTTGCGCACTTTCCAATCCCCCTTGTGCACTTTCCAATCCCCCTTGTACACTTTCTAATCCCCCTTGTACACTTTCTAATCCCCTTGTACACTTCCCAATCCCCCTTGTGCACTTTCCAATCCCCCTTGTGCACTTTTCAATCCCCCTTGTACACTTTCCAATCCCCCTTGTACACTTTCCAATCCCCCTTGTACACTTTCCAATCCCCTTGTACACTTCCTAATCCCCCTTGAGCACTTAACACTCCTCTCATACACACTTAACACTCCTCACACTTGTCCAGGTTCTCGACTAGTGCATTTTCCACAGGCGTCAGGATCCTCTTATGTTTACTGGTAACGTTCACAGGTGTGTGGCCCCGAGAGGTATCGGTTCTCTTCACAACATAGCTAATTGGAAACCTACATATCCATACGTAACCTAACCTAACCTCAGAAGTATATATACATTATATACACACAGACACGTATACCTAGGAATACATATTTACATGCATGTATATCTAGAAAGAGGCCCACGTAAGCGCATTTACTTTACATACATCCATCCATACATACATACATACATACATGCATAATGGTTGCCCCTCCTGTAACCTCGGCGTAAATTTGTTTCAGGTGTAGAAGCTGTCGCCAACACAACAACCACACCCTAAGTTAACGAGCTGCATGACCCAGTGTTTCAGGTGTAGAAGCTGTCGCCAACACAACAACCACACCCTAAGTTAACGAGCTGCATGACCCAGTGTTTCAGGTGTAGAAGCTGTCGCTGATACAACAACCACACCCTAAGTCAACGAGCTGCATGACCCAGTGTTTCAGGTGTAGAAGCTGTCGCTGATACAACAACCACACCCTAAGTCAACGAGCTGCATGACCCAGTGTCAGGGAATAGTCCGAGAAGACCGGACAACTCACAAACTGCACTGGTTAACCATTACCCTGGAAACGATCCGCAAATCGATTAACAAGGTCCCCAATTACTGGTGGGTAGACAGAGGCAAATGGTGTAAAGAAAATTGCCCATAGTTTCACCCTGCCCGGGGATCGAACCCAGGTCTGCTCGCTTGCAAGGCGAGTATGCTGACCATTACACCACAAGTTGCCATACATACTTTTAAGAAAATACTCAAGCAATATATTCCTTTATCCATACAGATCCAACACAACCCACCACCTAACAACACAGCCCACCACAACCCACCACTTAACAATTACCCCACCACACCCCACCACCTAACAACAAGGCCCACCGCAACACACCACTTAACAATACAGCCCACCACACACCACCACTTAACAATCTAACCCACCACAGCCCACCACAACCCACCACTTACCCATAACAGTAACGTTAGCGGCCGACCAGATAGGCAGGCTGCTCTGGGTAGGTCCTACTTGACACTGGTACTCCCCGTCGTCCTCAAGAGTGATGCCCTTAATGACCAGGTGATGTTCCCCCTGGCTGGCGTCCCCGGCGTACTGGTAGCGAGGGTATCCGGGCACCCCTCGTTCGAACCCTGGAGGAAGAGAGAAAATAAGAGGTGTGGTGATATGGGTCCTTGGTGTGATATATCGTAACCTAACCTAGACTAGCCTCACCTAACCTCACCTAACCTAGCAGTAGGACATGAAAAATGAGATGAGTTAGTCCATTATGATACACAGATACATACAAAATATCACTGAGGACACATGGAGAAAGTAACACGGGATACGGTAATCCAGGTTCGGTTCCACACTCAGGCAGAACCACATCCCAATCACCTGAAGAATAACCAACCAATCTTATTATTACCAGGTGTTCCCCAGGGCTGGTATCTCATGCAGAACTAGGGGGTGGGGATGTGTGAGGGGTGTGTGTGAGAGGGGTGACTGAGAAGGGTGACTGAGAGGTGTGTGTGAGGGGTGACTGATGGGTGAGTGTGAGGGGTGACTGAGAGGGTGACTGAGAGGGGGTGTGGAGGTGACTGAGGGAGTGTGAAAGGTGTGTGTGAGGTGACTGAGAAGGGTGACTGAGAGGTGTGAGGGGTGACTGAGGGGTGAGTGTGAGGGGTGACTGAGGGGTCGAGTGTGAGGGGTGACTGAGGGGTCGAGTGTGAGGGGTGACTGAGGGGTCGAGTGTGAGGGGGTGAGGGGCAGTGGATGATTAAAGAGTCAGAGAGAAAAATAAAGAAAAAAAATGCTAAAAATATATATAAAATGACTCACTAAACGTAATCTCTATGTTTGCTCTGTATTTATTCCTTCCCCGAAAAGTTAATACAGGCCCAGAAGTCATAGTCAACGCGCTAATGACATTAATTTAGATCAAAGGTCATAAATTATACTGAGCGGGATTAACATAATTATATACAGTGTCGTAGTGAAGTAAGTCGTGTGTGTGTGTGTGTGTGTGTGTGTGTGTGTGTGAGGGTGTGTGTGTGTGTGTGTGTGTGTGTGTGTGTGTGTGTGTGCTAGGAATATATAATCTTCATTAAGAACACACCTACGGCAACACCCTGAGCATATCCTCCTTCCTGTCTCCACCACTATTATCACCACCACAGACCACCACCACCACCACCACCACCACCATCTCCACCACCCGACAACGCCAACACGCCACAAATTGAGAGCCTCTAATTTTCCTCCTCGCAATTCGGTACAAATTTTTGTCCCAGGAGAAGCGAGAAAGTTATCGGGAAAACATTATTCACGAATCTTATATCAAATTTGTTTTCTCTTTATATATATTTTTCTTTTTTTTCTCGATAACAACAGAATGTGGCTGAGAGGTGAGGTAAGTACAAATAAATATGCTGGGTTATGAGGGTGTAGATATTAATGAGTCTTGGTGAGGAATTTGTGGTGAAAGTTAGGATAGTGTGGAATAGTTATGTCATGCTGGTGGTTAAGGTTAGATTAGGTGAAGAGGACCACGTTAGGGATCCTATGTTAGCAGTTATAAGTCCTCGACACACAAGGAGGTACTGGCACTGTCACTTGTCCACCTGTGAATTTAATTAACTCTCCATTCAAAGTTGGGTCACCTGAAGGATGTCGTGTATGTGAACCAGTGACCTTTAGAGCTAGAGGCGAGCGTTGTGTCAGCTTGACCACCGCACCATGTTGAAAGAATATTAATTGATTCACTTTTATTTTTTTGCCGGTTGAGATATATACTGTTTGATAAGAGTAAAAAAGAAAAAAAAGACGACGACGTGAGGTAAAATGTAATGGTGACAGCTTCCTAGTTATAGAAATAGAAAAATCTGGCAAGATTTATAAGAGTGGAAATTATGAAGTAGAAAACAAACTGCCAGCTGCAACAGACCACAGAACTTACTGTATAAAGTGAATACATGTAAGACACAAACCCTAAACTTCTGCTGACGGAGACAAAATTATTCGGTACATTTGTCCGAGACGTGCTTCGAAAAGGTTCAGTAAGTATCGCTACGAGTAACACGAAGACAAAATGATTCAGAACATCCGAGTGAAACGTGCACCGAAAATATTCTGTATATTCTGTAGCATTTGCTACAGGTATCAATACACACACACACACACACATATATATATATATATATATATATATATATATATATATATATATATATATATATATATATATATATATATATATATATATATATATATATATATATATATATATATATATTACAAACTTATTGTTAACATCTAAATTTATTTAATTTTTCTGTTTACTTTTGAATATCACCTGAAGATTAACCCCCCTAAAGTTATATGGAGGCTTAGATTAAGTTTAAGTAAGTTAGGTTAAGTCAGTTAGCATTAGTGTGTTAATCCTTAGGTGAAATATACTGGGGTACCTAATCTTCAGGTGATCCAAACATTTCATTATTTATAAGGAAAGAAATTTCATTATGTACTTAACCTTAATCACAAACCCATCTTCAGATATTAATTCATCTACTCAATGCGTTTTCTATGGTCCGTCGGCATTACCTCATAGTCTCAATCAGTGTGCGCCTTACTTCACTACTTCCTAAGGCTGTATCTCCAACAGTGAAGAGGCAAACGACCCACCATTCTTTTCCCAGTGGGTACGAGAACACGCACTCCTGCACATCGTAACCGAGAACCTCCTTGTATATCCTGGAGAAAAAAAAACACCCCTCCAGCTGGCCACACTTTATGGCTCCATCATAACTCTCGTTTTTTATATACAATGCCAAGAAAACGGAGAAATATTAGCAAGGGTAACTCCTCCATTTTCCCAGAGCCCAACTATTTCTATTTTGCTTCCTCGAGTGTGGAGATTCCTGCAACTTTACGGCAATATGGTTATATATACCTGGATTTTTTCTATGACTTTATGAGCCTAACTGAGTATAAAGTATTATTAGTTTAATTTGTGCAGGTTTTAACGAGTTATAATTTAGAGAGTTTATGTTCAGTATATGATCTTACGTGTACACATTTGCCTCTGAATTCTTTATTAACATTTGCGAATTTTCTGAGGACTTACAGTACAGTGTTTCTTGGCAATGTAAACTATGTTCATTATTATTATTATTATTACTATTATTTTTATTATTGTCCTTATTATTATTATTATTATTATTATTATTATTATTATTATTATTATTATTATTATTATTATTATTATTATTGTCATCATTATTAATTTATTCACCGTCTTATTTATTGCTCTATCACATACCACTTTTCAGTATTCCTATTCTCTTAAGATCCACAGTAACCCAATGTAATTAGCCATATTTTAATTTCCAAAGATTCCTGTATTAAAATTTCCTCCTAAATGATGATGTGACAAAGCATCTGACGGTCTCACTTAAGCTATGCCACAAAGATGGATTCTTAAAGATTCTGACGTTAGAATATATTTTTAAAACTATTAACACTTAAACTAAGGCAAAACACAGTTTTCAAAGATTATTAAGATAAACCAACCACACAAATTCACCTACATGAGAATCAATCTAAAACACTTACTACTTCACGACACCAGGACATCACCTAAAATACGACGAGTTTCTACTTTGAATAAGGCACTTTCCCTAACCTGTATTAAGGGAAAAAATAATTAATAGCTGAAACTTATATTAAGGGAAAAAACAATTAAAAGATGAAACACGGACCACTGAGAGTCGCAGGCCATTCGTTTCCGAGGAGTAATTTATGATAATCTGGTTACGAAGTTGAGGAAATAACACAGTCGTCATGAAGCCCCAATTTTTTAATGCCGTGTTGAAGAGAACTAAGCTTTTACGTGTGGTGTGAGAACGAGGAGGAAGGAGAGGATGGTGATGGTGGAGAAGGAGAAGAAGGAGGAGGAGATGAAGGAGAAGGAGAAGGAGGAGAAGAAAAAGAAGGAGATGAAGTAGAAGAAAAAGAAGAAATATAGCAACGATAGAAGAAACAACAGCAAAAATAAAAAAGAAATAATAATAATAATAACAATAATAAACTAAAAAAAAAAAAATATCCCCCCCCAAATATCTTCAAATAATCACAAGATGTCGATAAATAAACAACAAACTAACAAACAGACAAGAGGAAAGGAGGAGGAGGATAGCAAGGCAGAGAACCAATAACGGGGAGGAATAACAAATTACCAGGACTAACAACAGACCAATAACGGGAAACAGTGAGAAACAACAGACCAACAACAGTCCCTAAATTCAGCAATGTCCTGGCTCAAACAGAACCATCTATTGGCTGGTACAAGTATTGGCGTTTAGCTGAATATTAAACGAACGGATAATGGACGTGATCAGAGATGGTTGGAGCCTGGGCTTTAAATGGCTTTTAGTCCCAGAGTCAATATTAGTTTCCATACACCAGGCGTCTCTCTCTCTCTCGGGGTCCACCTGGCCAATTATTACACCTGGTGATTGTAAATGATGTAGCTACCTGAGATTAAGTGTTTGTTATGATGAAAATTAATGAAACTAGAGAGAAAAACACCTGATTATACCTAACCTAATGTAACCTAACCAAATCTAACCTAACCTAACCTAACCTAACCTAACCAAATCTAACCTAACCTAACCAAACCTCCTCAGGTATTCTCTCCGTCAAAATAGGTGGAGCAATTACATCATTTTTTACATAGTCACAAAGGATTTTTTTTTTTAATAAATCTTTACAATCAGGAAGTTCCCTTGTCATCTCAGCTGGCAGAGGAAATGAGAGACACGGAAACTGAGGTCTTCAGGTGAGGTTTTGTAGAGACATGAAGAGACATAGACACAGGTCTCGAATCTCTTATTAACTCTGATTGCTGAAGTACTTAAAACACACACACACACACACACACACACACACACACACACACACACACACACACACACACACACACACACACACACACACAATAGGGATTCGTAAAAAAAAAAAAAATCATCTGCAAAGGTTCGATTTAATCCTAAATAATCACGGGCTAAAATCTCACACTCTCGCTGCTATAAATACACACATCAACAAATACAACAAAAAACAACACAATCAAATACTAAAATACACCGGATATA